ATTTCTAAGCTACTGCTTGACATAAATCTTATTTCTTTTTCATTTACTCATATAACTGTGTCTCACTTGAGTTATGACCTCAGTTAACATTTTCATTTCTAACTCTTACTTGATGTAATTTCATGTTTATTTTTTAAACTATACACATAATTAGTCAAACAGACAACATAACAGTGTTTGTTTTAGGGCTACCATATGGGCATGCTGTGTTCTTCTTCTTTTCAGTCTCATCTTTTATTTACACCCTCTGACCCACACTACAGTTAAATAATCTGTTCAGACCAAATGAGGTTCCTGTCTGCATCAGCATTTTAGAAACTTTTAATTTAAAGGTTTTTTTTCTTTTATTAGGTATGAGGACCTCCAGAGTGTTTCCCTGGGAACAGTAGATTACTCGACAACCAGCTGTTCTGTGATGTCATCAGATGGCCTGGCCAATGGGTCAGACCCAGTGTCCATCGGTCTGCCCACTGCAAGGCTCCCTCCAAGACTGGTCGCGAAGGATGTTTGGCCTCAAGGCCCAGAAGCTAGCGGGGAGCAGTCCCAGCCTCATGATCAGAGCTGGAACTCCAGCAGGGAGCGAGGACCTGACGCCTGGGCTCCAGGCAGAGACCGACCCCAGGACCAGGTGTGGAACTCTGGCAGAGACAGAGGGGGACACTCCAGTCAGGACCAGATATGGATTCCAGGCAGGGACAGAACTCAGTGTGGGCCGGATCAGTCCTGGATGACAGGCCAGGAGCGGGGTCCTGATCAGGGCTGGGCAGCTAGCAGAGATCAAGGACAGGATCAGGCCTGGAATGGAGGCAGAGATCCAGGAAGGGACCGGGACTCGTCAGTGCCGGAGCAAGGGTGGGGTACTGGCCGAGGGCCAGATCAAGCCTGGAACAACACAAACAGGGATAGAGGGAACGTGTGGAGACCTGGTAAAAATGACCATATGGACTGATTTTGTTTTGAACACTGTGAAATGTCGTAAAATAATATGAGCTTCTTTCATGATATCTGCAAGCTACTAGCGAAAACCAGAACCTATAACACATGTGCGAGTGACAGCTTATAAGAGAAGTGCAGGTGATATATGTGCAGAGTAGATGTCATCATTTAGGTTATGATTTGTGATTTTGTCTAATTTTTAAGACTTGAACATGAAAAAGGTCCAGAGGCCAGAGATGGAGCCAAGCCCCGCACCCAATAACTTCACACAGCCACCAGAGGGCAGAGAATCCTGTAAGTTTTCAAGGAGTCTGCATTTAATGCAAAACTGAAAACTCTATATGTTACATTTCTATCTCACATATCTGTTTCATGCTGCTTTTTTGTCTTAAACTGAATATTATTGCCATATTAATAATACTTAGGACTGAAGTAACTTTATAAATCAGAACTATAGTTAGACATAAATCAGGAATTTGAAAAGTTGTTTCACAGTTTGTCCCTAACCATTATGGGAAAACAATATGAGGCCGTTTTCTCAAGTACACCACCTTCCCTTCAGTCTTGGCAGCAGTGCTATCAGCCACTAATTTGTTTTGGCAGAGTGTCTGGCACACCATACCCACTGACTGTTTCACTGTTTGAACAGAGAATCATTACAGAGAAGCATTTTCCTCTCATTGTAACTTATCGTGAACCTTTATTATTTGGGGAGGTTTCTCTAAGAGCCAGGCTTTCTGTAGCAGGAATGCTGTAATCATAATTCAACAACCAAAAAGCATTCATGCATTGAAAAGAAGACATTGTATATACTTGTATATATCTGTGTATCTTTTATCTTTTATTTCTAAAGTAATTTAATATAAAATTCTACATGCTGCTAATGGAGAGATGACAAACTTTGGCAGCAGTCTCTGCATCTAATCAATAAGGAAATTTGACCTTATTAAATAAAAATTATGATAAAATAGTTTAAAAAGAAAAATAAGCTTGATTGCATCCAGTCATTCAGTGTGAATCTTGCAGGTTCAGATGCTGCCAGTGCTGGTCAGGCCTCAACAGCTCAGCCGAACGAAGACCAGAAACCTCCAATCCTGCCGGCTAAGAAGGAACCTCCTACTTATCCTCCAGGTCAGGGCAGCAGCTGTTTACCACAGATTTATGTGATTTAATAGAAAGTAATCTTATTACACTATGTTTTATGTGCACTCCTTTGACTGAAACTGTCGATAGGCTTTATCTGACTGACCTTACACAAGTATGAGTTTTAAAGGGGATTTGGGGGGGGGGCATTTTATCTTGATTTAAACTGATTGCAAGAAATTGAAAAAGATGTTTCTAAAAGCTTAATTAAATTTGAATGATTAAAAGTGGGTGCTGAAGATAATCTGTAATTTAATCAAAATATTATTGTATATTAAAATAGGTAAGGAGTAAGCTGCTTCTTTTTCTGATGCTCTGTGCGTCGTGTAAAGTTAAAAAAAAGGAAAAGTTGCCTATTTGTTGACATCAACTAGGAAGCCAAGAGGAACGTTGGCAGCTCCAGATTGTTGCCAAAGGAAGAGTCACCTGTCCAAAGTGTAAAAGTGTGAGCAGGAAGACTGTGGAGGGGCTGAAGAAGCACATGGAGAACTGCCGACTGGTGAGCCCTTCATGAATAATAGTGATATTAGAGTTTTGGACCATCTAGCAGGAACCTTCTGCTTTACTGTTTCTCCTGAAGGACTCTAATAATTAGTTATTACTAGCAATGACATTATTTGGAATAATTGGAGTAAATAAATTATGTTTTGTGTGTTTTTTAAATTTTTTCCAGGATATCAATTTTCTGTGAAACACATTCTGCACTGAAACCAGTTCACACACTCTTCATATTAAGCATCAAGTTTTTAAAAAATGAATGGGTCTGTAGTGTGGTTTGTGCTTTACATTTGCACTGAAAAAACCTAGTCTGACTAATATTTCCATAACACAAATCCGCTTGTGTTCTTTGCTGGTTTAAATGTTTACCAAATGAAAAAGTCACTGTGTCACTCTGTTATCTGTAGCAACCTTTTACCTGCCAACACTGTGGGAAACAGCTCAAGTCTTCAACAGGGATGAAGTATCACATCATGGCTGACCACAGCCACTTGGTAAGACTACTCAGAAATAAACATTTTCAGTCTTAGTTCAGTTTAGTTTAGTTTAGTTTATTATTGTTTTACTGAGTTTGTTGCTATCTTTTCCTGCTTTCTTCTTTTGTAGCCTTCAGCTGATGATGCCAAGGACCTGGATGATCGTGCTATAAAAGACAAGCTACGTAAAATCCTGAAGAGACTGGGAAAATTAAAATGTTCCAAAGAGGTAAAATTTGCACGTATTGTGCTGTTTTAAGAAAGGAGATTTGATGAAAGTAAGATAAAAGATTAAACTGGCGGTGTGAAAAAATGTGTTTTTCTTTTCTTTATAGGGTTGTAACGCTGCATTTACCAGCATCATGGGCTACGTGTATCACATGAAGAAGTGTGGAAAGGAGGAGTCTGAGCTGGAGAAAATGCTGCTGAACTGCTCTCACTGTGGGAAGACGTATAAATCCAAGGCTGGTCTGGAGTATCACCTGAAATCAGAGCATGCTCCTGTGAGTCACATATGTCATCGAAGCCACCAAATACTATAAAAATTGTAATTCGTTAATACTCTTCAATCAAATTTAAATTAATGGACAATTAGACAAGATGCCAGCCTTGTTTTGTCACCTGTCCTTTTAATTCAAGTGTCTGTGAAACTCTTTGTGCCTCATCTCCATTAAGTTTATTCTCTTGGTTCATCCAGACACCACAGAAGACTGAGGAAGATGAGGCACTGAAGGCTCAGAGGGAGGCTAATCCAGAGAGGACGCCCAGTGGCAGGGTGCAGAGAGCCTCAGCCCAGGTGGCCAACTTCCACCTGGCTGAGATTGCCAACAATGAACTGCCCAAAGACTGGCCCAAGAGGAAGTTTCAGTCCGACCTGGTACCAGATGACAAGAAGGTAAGAGAAGATTCACTAAAATTGAGTATGTACTGAACATAAATGCGTTTCTTCTTTCTCCTGACGCTCTTTTCAGTTGAAATATGCCCGACCCGGCCTCCCTGCCTTCAGCCAGGAGGTGCTGAGGAAGTGGAAGAATGAGGTGAAGCTGCAGAGGAAAGTCCAGTGCCCCAACCAGGTAGAAAACAACACTAGTCTTATTTTTACCTGTTTAATTGAAATCAGCAGACTTATTTATTTTCTTATCTGAGTAATTGGATCAAGATGTCAAGAACAAGTATAATTAGCATAACTTTAATTCATTTAAAATAAAAGTATAGCCATGAAGATTATCAGTCTTTCTGTATAAAAACCGGAAGGTTGCCAGTTCGATCCCCAGCTCTGTCTGTCCTGGTTGTTGTGTCCTTGGCAAGACACTTCACCCAACCGCCTACTGGTGTTGGCCAGAGGGGCCGATGGCGCGATATAGCAGCCTCGCTTCTGTCAGTCTGCCCCAGGGCAGCTGTGGCTACAACTGTAGTTTGCATCCACCAGTGTGTGAATGTGAGAGTGAATGAATAGTGGAATTGTAAAGTGCTTTGGATGCCTAGAAAAATGCTATATAAATGCAATTCATTATTATTATTATTTTTTCAATAACCTGAAATGTTTCTCTTTGTAAATGTACATTTTTAAAGCAAAATATGGAGATATTTTATATTTTATTTTATGTCATATATACACTGTTGCATTGGTGAACATTCATAGTAAACATGGCCAAAGTTTCAAATAGAGAGGTCAGTGTATGTACAAGTAATCCCTGTGGATGTGTATGATGTCAAGGAGAGCAGATGTCCATAACATGGTTAACACAGTATTCAAAGACCATAATATAACATAATGTGTGTCGTCCTCAGGGTTGCGGTTGCACCTACACGAGTGTGTCTGGACTCAAAGCTCATCTGGGACTCTGCACGAGGGTTTGTCTCTTTTTTTCTTTGTTTAGGAAATAACAAACTTACAAACTTTCTAATTACAATACATACAATGACACCAGGTATAATTAAGTTGAAACTCATCAATGTATTAGCATGAAACCCTTCTAATGCTTCATCTGGACCGGCATTTACATATGCTTTTAGTCAGCTCCTCAATCATTTGGGATGATTCCTGTAAATTAAAGAATGAAGTATTAAATTTGTAAAAGCTGCTTTGAACAGAATTTTGAAAATGTGTGTATTTGTAAAATTATTCAGTCAATTACTCAGACCATTAAGTGAAATATAAAAGTCAGTGCACTATGCGCAGTTAATACTTTATATGCATTAAATTCTTATAATCTTTTCAAGGCTGTTTTTTGCTGATCTGATTTCAGGGCGACTTTGAGGCCGGTAAATACAGATGTCTGATCTGCAATAAAGAGTTTAACTCTGAAAGTGGAGTGAAATACCACATCAACTCTGTCCATTCACAGGTAATGAAAAGTTTCTGGCTTGAGCCTTCTTTGTGCAACTGTATGTAGATGACATTGCCATGAATGCATATACTCTATATCAGGGGTTGGATATGAGCAGCTCCATAGTGTAGTTGTTTAAACTCATCAGGAAAGTTTTTACTAAAGTCATGAATAAAATGATGTCTCAGACTTGCAACAGCAGAATCAGACTTCTTTTTGCAAACAGACGAGCTGCCCCATTCTGGCTTATAATGCAATAAATAATAAATAATGCAAGTTTAATGTATGTCATATAATAGCACCTCTTCATGCTGCGTGTATCTCAACAGGATTGGTTTGTGACGAACAAAAAAGCCTCGAAGAAGTTTGAGAAGTTCCTTAAAAACCAGCCCAAAGAGGTCGTCCGTAATGTGGATAAGCAGACTGTTGATCAGTACCACCATCATCACCTGCAGCATCATCCTCATCATCATCATCAGCAGCACCATCAACAACACTCACATCACCACCATCAGCAGCAGCACCAGCTCCAGCACCAGCCTCTGCAGCACCCACTTCAGCCGCTGCATCACCTCCAACACCAAACTCAGTACCTCCATCCAGAGAGGCAGAACCTTCCTCCACAAGTGGACCCCCAGCCCCAACAGCCGATGCTCCAGTACACCAGTTTGGAGCCTCCTCCGGGGCCAGTGTGGGTCGATATGGACCACAGAGGAGCCGTGCTGGGGCCGGAGCAGGCCCCGATCGAAATGGAAATGGCTGACAAACCTGAGGAGGACAGCGGTGGGATGATGAAGGATACAAGGAGAGGGAAGGAGGAAAGAGGAGTAGATGTAGGGGAGAGGGGGAAGGCTGATAAGAAGCAGAAGGATTGCTTCACTTTCGGCGGTAGCAGCAGAGGCGGAGGTTGTGGGCGCAGCAGCAGCAGTAGCAGTAGCAGCAGCAATACCGGCAGCTCATCGAGCGAATCGGAGGTCGAGCAGCAGGAGCGGCAGAGACAGATTGACCAGTGGAGCTTGAAACGACCGGGCATCATGGGCCTCTCGCTGAGGCTGGAAAGCGACAGAGAAACATTTAAAAAGACCTAAAAAAAACACACTTTCCTTCACATTTCAAATGTCTGCAGCTGATTTGAATGGAAGTAGAGAAAAAAAGGTGAAGCGAGAAAAACGTCTGCATAAGTTTTCCACAAGACAAACCTGTGAGATGGCAGCTGAGACAATTAAATTCACTAACCTTTCGGAAGTGATGGTGGATGCCTTGAAGACAAGCTCTCAAGCTGTGAGCGTGGAAAGCTCAGACTGCTCGTTTCCAGAGGCTGTTTCTGTCTTGAAATGGTTGTCGTTGTATAACCTTGAGAAATGTAGTTTATCGTGTGTTTATCTGTAGCAGATTGTTTCCACCAACTTTAATTGTCTTATTGTTTTAAAAGGTTTCATAAAACTCTTCTTGTCTTTCATGTTTTGATTTAAATGGTAAATGGCCTGTATTTGTATAGTGCTTTACTAGTCCCTAAGGACCCCAAAGCGCTTTACACTACATTCAGTCATTCACCCATTCACACACACATTCACACACTGGTGATGGCAAGCTACATTGTAGCCACAGCTGCCCTGGGGCGCACTGACAGAGGTTAACCTGAACAGAGACTGCCAGGTGGAGTGTTTACTTGTACTTGTCTAGTCACGCTCTCTGAAGACATTTTGTGCCTCTCGAGTATGATTAGTATAACTTCATACTACTCATCACTTTTAATTATGACTGATCACCATCCTTGGTGAAGTAATGTTGGATCAGGATCACTGTTCACTGGCTTGGATTCTTCTGTCTGTCTGATATTGTTTTCATTTCAGATTTTTTTTAATATAATTTTGTATTTAGTTGCCATTCTTAAGTGAAACCTGCTGCCAGTTTACAGACTTTTGGGCATGTACATGTGACATATAAGTAGCAATGAAGCAAATCTAATGTAAAAGGAAAGAAATGAAAATAACATTGTATCAACTAAAACTTTATTTCCTAAAGTGTACTGGAAACATCAGTACTATTCTTATTAAGTGCAAAACAGCTTAAGCAATTAATCGTGTCCATTGTATGACTGCAACTCATCTCCATCAGTTACAGAATATAATGAGCAGTCTGAAACCACGTATCACCAACACATCTGAAAATTCCCTCCTAAACTGAATCTCTTGATCCTGATAATGTTCTGATAATTTCTTGAGAACTTGAAGGCCATATTACACATTTATTTTCTTATTTTGCTTTTAATATTAATGAATATATGGCACAAAATGTCCAGTTTTTCGCTATAATCACTTCTAAACTGGGCCCGGCCCTACCTCTGGTAAAGATTTCATGCGCATAAAATCAGTAACATTTTCCTTAATCCTGTGAACAAACTGACAAATTAACCAAGCACACAGCCTCCTTAGTGGAGGTAGCTACAGGATGTACCCCCTGTTAATTAAAGCTCTGTTCTTGTAGGATTATTTGATGTAACCTGTGAAGTGGGAAACCTTAAAAAAATTGTTATGTACCAAGAAACAGAAACAAACATAGTTTAATTTGTTTGCGTAGAAATTAACCAGTGAGTGACATGACGTGATTTTTTGTTCTTTTATTTTTGTTGAAATGTAGAAATCCTTTATTTGCCAAAACCTGGTTCAACGTCAGCAGTTAAAAATAATCTTAACTCAAGTTATGCATGTGTTTCTTTATTGGGTTTATTAGATAGGTGCAGTGACGAGTGACAGGAAAGTGGAGGGAGAGAAAGACAGGTCGGATTCAAACCTGGGCTGGCCGCTCCCAGCAACACAGTGTATGATCACCTATACCAAAAAAACAAAAGAAAAACATCAGTAAATGTTAAAAACAAATATTTTGTCTCTTCTTTATTTTACATTTTTTATGTCACATTTGATTATGTTGTGCAGACCTTCAGTCAGAGTGCATGCATCCTCCCAGCTCTCCTCCACTGACATAAATGCAGCTGACTGGGATGTGATGAATGGAAGCTAACTATCATGTAACATGAAGGATATTCACTCTTATTTAACCGACAGCATGTAGCCTAATGTTTATGTACTCTGTGTTTTGTATCTCCTACAGTGGGAAATTGTCACGTCAGTCAGTTCTGTGATGTTTTCCTATAAATGTGCATATTTTTTTTACAAATTTATTTTGAATGTATAAATGTGTTTAAGTTCTTGTTTCTCCCATTTCTTCTGCACTCCCATAGAGCTGGATAAATGAACCGTTTAACACAAATTGTCTCTTAATCAGTGAAATTATGTAAAATGAAAAACACCCATGACTGTATTTACTGTGTTTGATTTCTTTTTACCGTCCATCAGATGACTTTAGGATGAATAGTTGGTGTTGTTTAAGTCTCAAATTAGAAAACGCATTATTTTTTATTTTTATTATTGTTATTCTCTGTTAATTTTAAGTGTTGGCGAACATTTGGTTCTGAGTTGTGTCGGGACCTCTGCATACTCACTTGCAAGTCTTTTTTTTCTTCATTTTTAGACTGTTAAGACTGAAAAATCTTGAAAACATTAATTTAACTTTAGTTTTATATCTGTCTTTGTCACTAACCACTACAGATTTCTTTTGATGGTGTTTGTACGTAAGAGGGAAATAATTATAAGACTTAAGTCGGTAGTTTCTAATCTTTGTGGGTTGTGATCTCATGAAGTGAAGCCAGTATCTACCTTCATGAGAGATTGCGTTTTCTTTGTGGTCACTTTATTAGGTACACCTGTCCAATCTTAATTCGATTCAGTTCAACTCTCCAAATGTAAAGCCTACTTTCTGTCTAAAATAGTGAGGGTTTGCTTAATATATGAATTATTTTGTAACATAATATGATGGACGAAAACATTTTTGTCATGATGAGCTCTATAATAAACACAATAGCACATTTCTGATATTCTTCAACATAATCTACACATAAAAGTAGATTTTTTTTAGAGCTCAACTAATTTACAAGATAACTGATACTGATAGCTGCTGGAGCCAAAACAGTAAAACACCTGTGACAAAATAGCTTGAATGAATTAAAATAGCTCAACAAAATAGCCCAATTAAAGAGAAAACAAATGAGCTCAATTAAGCTCAACAGGTAAAATTATTAATATTTCTCCTTCTTTTGGGTGTTCACTTTTGGGGGTTACCACAGCACATCATCCTCCACATTCTTAGCCTCTAGGGTAGGGAGAAAGCCGGTGTCCTGCAGGTTTTAGATCTCACCCTGGGTCACCACACCTGAATGTGAAAATGATTAGTTCATTACCAGGCCTCTGGAGAACTTCAAGACATGTTGAGGAGCTCAATCAGCCATTTAATCAGCAGTGTTGGATCAAGGACACATTTAAATCCTGCAGGACACCGGCTCTTGAGGCCTGGAGTTCCCTACCCCTGCTCTAAGGTCACACCAACTATCTCCCTCTCCATCCATAAAACTTCTCTGGGTTCTTCTTTTTCCACGTACCTTTCAGCTCCATCATCATCATCCTTTCTCCACGGTCCCTGCTCTGCACGTCCAAACCCTCTCAGCATTACCTTTCTAACTTTGTCTCCAAACCTCTCAACCTTTGATGTACTCATTTCTAGTTCTGTCAATCCCCTAAATACAATAAAAGAACAACAATACAGTAGAAAGCTGAAAAGAATTCAGTTAAATAGCTCACATTCAGTAACTCAAAATAAAATAAAAGTGACTTCCTAAATGTAGCAAAAAGTGTATACGTACAGCTCGTTTATGATGCTGAAAAGGGTAATTTGGGGGGATTTCATTCAAAACTTTCCAGTAATGCCTTACAAAAGCTTATTACTCCTAAGACACTTCTGAGTCACCATGACCTACTGTACTGTAATGCTACTCTGCTACAGGTGCTGCAAACAGTGCTGATAGTGGAGAGGAAACAACTCCTAAACTTACTAAACTCTAAATGACTCTGAACACCTTTATCTGCTTTATGTTCAATAAAAATAAAGTTCTGATATGAAATCATATCAGTCAGCAAACTGTATACGTCAATATATGTGTTACAGGTTAATACAGGGCAGTAACGTCATTGAACTGGTACATTCATCAGGGTTTACAGAGCTGTTGTTTTGAATTGCTAAAGATTGCACAAAGTTACCTTATCAGTTGAGGTGAGGCGTTGATGTTGTGGTTTAAAAATATAAAATCAATTTCAAACCAGTCTTCAGACAAAATATTAAGCAAAGATTAGAAGGACTGTGTAAAAAATTAGACAATTTATGTTTTATTATTTCTCCCCCCTTTTTATGGCAGTCATATTTGTAATAAACTTTGTTATCACCCTGCATGCACTTTGGCATGTTTCACAGCACAAATGAAAGCAGCCTTTTCTATTTGACTAAACATTTGACCTATTTAATAACAGAAGCTCTGCATTTCATGGGATAACACCGAAATATGTTTTCACTATAACAAAACTATTAAGGTCAGTGTGGTTCAAACTTTGCTTTTTCCTGCTGTCTTCCTGTCCTTATATTGTAGACCAGCATCTGTTAATGCTGGAGCACAACTCTGACATCTAGTGTGAGTTTTTATTCTAATTTTTTCTGTTCCATTCAACTGGAAAGAAGTAGTGAGAGGCACTCGAGATTTCCATTTGATATTAGTAATGTAAACATGATTTGATCTTAACCTCCTCCCGTTAAGTGATTGATTTCTAAGAGGTTTCAGTTCAATGGTCATACTAGAAGTAATGCTGGGAGCTGAAGTAGTTTATTGTTGTTGAAGTGTTTTTAATGAACTGACAAGTGATAATGATGAAAACTGATATCTTGTGACTAAACTTTTAACCCTCTTCAAAAAAAACAAAAAAAAAAAACAGTTCAATATCCTGTATTGTCCAGGCCAGATTTAAATAAAGGTTCAGTCAGTTAGTAGCCATGTAACATCTGTAAACAGACCAAGTGATTGATTTTTTTAATTTTATGAGACATGATTTTTATTCAAGTGACAACATTCATTCAACAATTAACACCACATTGTTTTTATTAGAAGTTATGTGCTGCTGTTTCATAGTACTGGCAGTGTTATAACAACAGATAATAAAGATTTATTCATGCTCATTCTGTGTCTTAATAATACTGAGTGGAGGCTGGCATAAAGAGTGATAGGTAAAGGATTAACCCCACTGCATCCCCCAGTAGAAATGCCTGTCTTAATTCATATATTTTAAATCGTGGCTCTTCTTTCTTGACTGCAGCAGTGGTATTCACATCTCAAATCATCTCAGATTATTGCTCCATCGTTGAAACTTTAACCCGACAAATTTGGGGTTGGCTCTTCCTTGACATCTTATTTGAACTGTGGCTGTGCATCAGGCAGGTTTGAGGAGTCCCAGTCCCAGGCTGCTGGACACTGGCGCCACCGGCACCAGTGCTCCAGCATTAACAGATATACAGGTCCATTTTCTTTACTAAATGTACCTGTATATTGTTTACATGTTTGAAATAAATTAAAAAACAAACAAAGTTAATGTCATTAACCAATTAGGACCAGAATAAAACACAGTGGACCTCTAGACATCATTGTCTCCAAGGCCAAAACAACAAAAACAAAAAAAACAACTGAGGCCACACTGTTCATACAAAAAACAAAGACTACAATGGCTGAGCTCCCCGTCTCCCCTCTCATCTGCCCATTCTGATTTTGACCCTTCACCAGTATGTGGCAGTATTGAATGGAAATTTGGTTAATTTGGTTAATAAATAACTGTGCACAGAATATAATAAAATAAAAACAACTTGTGAATTTTACTCTCAGAGCTGAATGAGAAAAACAAAGGTGTATACCTTATAAAATATTTGAAGTTAATTGTCTTGTTAGATAACGCTAACCGCACAGAAAATAAGGTTTTGGTTTGTAAATATGAGAAAAAATCAAAAGTTAAATGTTTTAAGCATCAATGGAGTCATTTCTGTGCTGGGTCGATGTTGAAGGTGTTGATCCGTAGAGTCTGACCCTACACACTGCTCCCCGGGCGCCTGATTGGTGGCTGCCCACTGCTTCACTGGGTGAATGAGTTAAATGCAGAGAGACAAATTTTCCCACGGGGATCAATAAAGTATACATTATTATATGTTGCGTACTGAGGTTATACCTCATTATGTCAGTAGATGGAGCTGTTCAAGCCCATACACAGCTCAGACATAAATGTGAATATAGGTTCAGCAATATGAGGTGCCATAAGGGACATTATTACTGAAACGCTCTCACACAGACTACTGAAATGCACTCACGCACTCCACTTAAAAACCTGAGGCATTTCAGCTAAACAGGAAGTTGTTTCCTGACAAGTAAACTGATGGAAAAAGTGGTACATTTCAAACCACTACGAGGATGTCTACTCAGCAACCTGCTAGTACAGCGGTCCTCAACCTTTTTTTGCACCACGGACCATTCATTTATGGCCGACAATATTTTCACAGACCGGCCTTTAAGGTGTCGCGGATAAATACAATAAAATAAAACCAGAAAAAAAGGAAAGAAGATTTATTCATAACACATGGGAAAAGACCCACGGAAACAGTTAATAATATAAGCGATATAAAAATAACGATAAAAAATGATAAAAACCTTGAAAACCACGAATGTCAAACCGGACATTCAACACATGGGTTTAACCACTATCTGTGCCTCATTGCATAAAGTCAGGCTGTCATGCAGTTTTGTGGATGATGATATCTGCCTTGGTGTTCGTCCTGCTTTGCCACTTGAGGGCGTACATGTGATTTTTGGGGAATGATTTGGCTGGAAATCGAGTCTGGGCTGACAATTCTTTATCTGTTAAATCTAGAGTTCTGAATGAGTCCCATGAGTGTGAACAGGGTTTTTCTGACCTTGCAGCTTGTGCTGTTACAAGGGCTGCAGCTAAAAGGGATGCAGAGCCTGTAACTCAAGCAGAAGAGTGTCAGGTTGAACCAGATTTGATTGTTCCTGAACATTTGTCAGTTTCCCAGCAAGAGTTAATTCAAGCACAGCCTGCTGATGCTTCACTGACTGAGCTGTTTCACAAAGTGCAACCTAGTGATGACACTAGAAGTGCGGCCTCTGGTTATTTTCTGCAGCCCACTGGCCGTCACACTCAACTCTTGTGGCCCGGTACCAAGCGACTCACAGAATGGTACTGGTTCAGGGCCCGGGGTTGGGGACGGCTGTGCTAGTAGCCTAAGTGAAGAAGCTGCATTACTTAACAATATATTAGCTTCCTTGAATCCAGGAAGGGATTCAAGGTGCAATGCGGAATTCGGCAAGGATGTCCTATTTCCCCTAAGCTTTTTATATTGGCAACCAAACTGTTAAAACTATTAATCAAGAATTCAAGGAATATCAATTTTTAATAAAGACTTCAAAATAAGTCAATTTGCAGATGATACATCTATTTTTTTGAAAGATAAATCAATGGTAGAGAAAACTAAATCTC